TGCACGTCTATATGTGCATGGATGTACATATGTATCGTCACTCTGTCGACGCCGATTTTACTTCTCTGCCTTTGTAGCTCATTAATGGCCCATGAAGCTCAGCTTCTTGAAGTGTTAGTTGTAAATGTAGCCCAAATGCCCTGGTTTTATAGCAAAAAGAATTTACTTGATACCTGAATCGCTCAACTCTATTAAATACTTTGTATACTATCGAACAGGAAGACAGTTGCTCCATGATTTGGTGAAGGACTGCGATGTGATGATGGAGAACTTTATTCCTGGAAAATTAAAGGGTATGCCATACAGCTGCCGATGAGTAGATGCGCAAAATCAGACTCTAGCCGGTCGCAGTGTTGACTAGATGTGAACGGCTAGATAGCTCTCGGTACAGTTAGTCCTAGTACGGTAGAACATTATGCGAGTGCTATCGAACATTGCACACTCTAAGATGGACGGCAATGCCTTGTTGCATATTGCGAAACCTGCATAATATCAGTGAGCACTGCTAAAGAACAAACTTAGCGAGCAGATTCTATAAGCACGAAGACCCACCTTGTCCATCAAGACATAGACCATGACTATAGTCTTCTCAGAAGAGTGCAGAAGAACTTCGCATACAAGATACCTGATCTTGCCGGATTGGGAACCACAAAGGTGGAATACGATGTGTCTAACCAAAGGGGTATTGAGATAGGCCGGTGTTTATACCTACCTTCTTTGCAGAAGTCCCTGCATCGTCCTCGCCTCTGAATGGATATCGACCCTCTTTTCGTTGCGTTTGGTTCATGTTGAATATCAGGTTTGAGCTCCCCTGATATACACCAATATACCTACGATGTGAGCACACACGCTCTTTCTCGTCGGACATCCTGTAAACCCTCCTGAAGTTCGCTTATGCGAACATGTCTACATTATGGGACCATGTCTATGCTAACTTCGATATTATGAATCTCGCTGATATTCCGCCTCAACAGATTTGGGCCTAGACTATGAGACGATGTCTGCGATAAACCCGACGCTCATATATTGTTCCATCTCCGGGTTTGGGTCGACTGGTCCATATTCACAAAGACCTGGCTATGACCTGATAGCCAGCGCCGTTGGTGGATTGATGTCTACTACCGGGCCCGAAAACGGTATGCTTATAAGCCGTACGAGTCAAATACTAAATATGTATTTGTGTAGGTATGTATGTGTGCGTATATTCCTATTTGGCATTAGCTCAAACGCGGCCATGATCTAGCCGCCAGAGCTGTTTGTGAACCGATGTATACTTCCGGGCCCCAAACCGATGTGCGTTTTATTAAGTATATATTTCCATGTCATTATCAACTAATATAGCTAATCGTAATCTATATTTTATTATGTACGTTCGTGTGATTGTGCATAGTTATTTGAGGTGCGATTTAGACCAGACGACTAGTATCGTGGACGGATACCCGGTTCTACAACGAAATACTTGTGGCGTGTCAAATCAACAGTCGTCTACAATACTACATTGTTATCTGTGGGAGTGAAGTTTCAATTTGCGATAGATGCTATCTGCATATATGCGGCTGTACATGCATGTGATATCTATGATTATAAAAAAATATACTTGAATATTATATCTGAGTTATACTTGAATGGTATACCTGAGTTATACTTGAATAACATATCTGAGTTATACTTGAGTAACATACCTGAGTTATACTTCAACAACATATCTAAGTTATACTTGAATAACATGTCTGAGTTATACTTGAATAGCATACCCAATTTATACTTGAATAGCATATATGAGCTATACTAGAATAACAAATCTGAGTTATACTTGAATAGCATATCTGAGTTATACTTGAAAAACATACCTGAGTTATACTTGAGTAACATGCCTGAGTTTTACTTGAATAACATATCTGAGTTATACTTGAATAGCATATCTGAGTTATACTTGAATAGTGTATCTGAGTCATACTTGAATAACATATCTGAGTCATACTTGAAAAACATGTCTGAGTTATACTTGAATAACGTACCCGAGTTATACTTGAATAGCATAGATGAGTTATACTAGAATAGCATATCTGAGTTATACTTGAATAACATATCAGTTATACTTGAATAACATATCTGAGTTATACTTGAATAACATGTCTGAGTTATACTTGAATAACGTACCCGAGTTATACTTGAATAGCATATATGAGTTATACTAGAATAGCATATCTTAGTTATACTTGAATAACATATCAGTTATACTTGAATAGCATATCTGAGTTATACTTGAATAGCATACATGAGTTTTACTTGAATAGCATACCTGAGTTATACTTGAATAGAATACCTGAGTTATACTTGAATAACATATCTCAGTTAAACTTGGATTGCATGCTTGAGTTATGCTTGAATAACATACATGAGTTATACTTGAAGAACATATCTAAGTTATACTTGAACAGCATACCTAAGTTATATTTGAATAACATATCTGAGTTATACTTGAATAACATAACTGGGTTATACTTTAATAACATACATGGGTTTTACTTGAATAAAATACCTGAGTTATACTTGAATAGCCTACCTGAGTTACACTTGAATAGTATATCCGAGTTATACTTATATAGCATACCTGATTTATACTTGAATAGCATGCCTGAGTTATACTTGAATAACAGACCTTAGTTATACTTGAATAACATATCTGAGTTATACTTGAATAACATAACTAAGTTATACTTGAATAGCATACATTACATGAGTTCTACTTGAGTAGAATACCTGAGTTATACTTGAATAGCATACCTGAGTTACACTTGAATAATATATCAGAGTTATACTTATACAGCATACCTGATTTATACTTGAATAGCATGCCTGAGTTATACTTGAATAACAGACCTTAGTTATTCTTGAATAATATATCTAAGATATACTTGAATAGAATATCTGAGTTATACTCGAATAACATATCTGAGTTATAATTGAATTGCATGCTTGAGTTATACTTGAATAACATACATGAGTTATACTTGAATTGCATGCTTGAGTTATACTTGAACAGCATACCTGAGATATACTTGAATAAAATATCTGAATTATAATTCAATAACATATCTGAGTTATTCTCGAATAGCATACCTGAGTTACACTTGTATAATATACCTGAGTTATACTTGATTAATATATCTGAGTTTCACTTGAATATCATATCAGAGTTATACTTGAATAGCATTTCTGAGTTAAAATTGAATAGTGGATCTGATTCATACTTGAATAACATATCTGAGTTATACTTGAATAACATACCTGTTACACTTGAATAACATATCTGAGTTATACTTGAATAGTATATCTGGGCTATTCTTGAATATCATATCTGAGTTATACTTAAATAACATATCTGAGTTATACTTGAATAGCATATCTGAGTTATACTCGAATAACACATCTGAGATATACTTGAATAGCATACCTGAGTTATACTTGAATAACATATATGAGTTATACTTGAATTCATATGCAAGTTATACTTGCACAGCATACCTGAGTTATACTTGAATAACATATTTGAGTCATAGCATACCTGAGTTACACTTGAAAAACACACTTGAGTTGTACTTGAATAACATATCTGAGTTTTACTTGAATAACATGACTGAGTTATACTTGAATAACATAAATGAGTTATATTTGACTAGCATACCTGAGTTATACTTGAATATCATATAAAAGTTATACTTGCACAGCATACCTGAGTTATACTTGAATAACATATCTGAGTCATAGCATACCTGAGTTACACTTGAATAACATACCTGAGTTATACTTGAATAACATATCTGGGTTATACTTGAATAGCATACCTGAGTTATACTTGAATAACATACCTGAGTTATACTTGAGTTACATACCTGAGTTTTACTTGAATAACATATCTGAGTTATATTTGAATAGTATATCTGGGTTATTCTTGAATATCATATCTGAGTTATACTTGAAAAGCACACCTGAGTTATACTTGTATATCGTATCTGAGTTATACTTGAATAGCATGTCTAAGTTTTACGTAAATAGTATATCTGGTTTGGAATGTATATACACTTGTGAATACCTGAAAAGAAGCTGTCATTTGATAGCAGTACAGTCGGTGAAAAAGTTATACATACTATAAACAACTAACGCTACATGTAAGGTATGTTTATGTTGTCCATTGATGGACCCGGTTGCACTTTGTATATATAGTTGGAGTGCGTTTTCACTGTTTCATTTCTTTTCTGCGGCCATACGTAATTGCTAGTGCCGTAGGCAAGCTCATATGCACTACGAAACTCGACAACGTTAGTGGTTTTTTGAATTAGCACTTACGTGTTCTAGTTCTTGATTGTTATACGCATACTCAATTTATAAGTGACTAAGTGTGGATGTGTAGTTCCACTCGGCCATGCTAACCAAGACTCAACTTGTTGAGAACATGGGATATAAAGTCGTAGAATACAGCAAGTGGTACTTTGCGCACAAAGTTACTGAAGTAAACGTATCATCCAGCCCTAAATATATCATTCACTGTAACGCTATACAACTCGCTCTCTCTGCTCTAGGGCCTCCCTGCAAGACGGGAGTGGCACTTACAGATCTGATGACCGGTCTACAGGCGTATGGGGCAGTATCTTCCGCACTCTTTGCGCTGAGGTCCAAACAATACAAAGCCGTGAGGAGCGGTGATCAGCACCAAGAGATTAGGGGCCAGCATATCGAATGTTCTCTGCTGGAGACACAGGTAGGAACGGACGACTAATTCTGCCCTATATCTTACTGGTGCGAAATACTGGTGCGAAAGCTTATTTGGTTTTCAAGCGTATTGATGAGTACAAGGTGGCAGAAAGTAGAGATTGTTGAGGCTAATGATGGTTACCCTTAGCCCGTACTTTAGCCTCTAATGAAATGTTACCATATAACCGCACTCTGACATGCTCTGACTCACGAATGTAGGTATCTGCGCTCACCCATCTGGCCAGCAACTACCTACTCACGGGACAGGAAGCCCGCCGTCGTGGCACTTCTCACGCTAGCATTGTACCGTACCAGGTATATCCTATACATACAAGTACTTGTATATCATAATATATTACCTGATGGAATGAACCTGATACTGTTGTATAGGTGCTCTTTATGGGTAGGCACTGTCGCATGACGTTTACTTCAGTCAGAATAGAGGGAAGCACAGGTATAAGGCCCTTACGTCCAATGTCATAGGGGGTGTAAGCATTCTATCACGCCACTTACATACCAAAACGTTCTGCCCAACTGTCCTAATTCTTGAAAGATAAAAACAGAATGCATTTGACGGAACGATCATTTGCTATGTGAGATGGTACAATACTTTATGCATTATTATTAGTAATACAAAGCATCCAATTTTTGTCCCAACGTCCTCAAGAGATTGTGTATGTAGTAATTGTATAACGTCTTTCGAGCTGCGAATGCGAAGCATTGACTGATGAGCAACAGTCAATACGCCCACATGTTTGTACATTGATACCGAAATATGGTCAAATGGAAGTGTGTTAAGTGACAAATCACTATCAAGTCTACCTCGTGGCTACATACGGCACTACACTCTTTATTCTCTATGCCCTTCTGCAAAGCCCTTTCATCTGGGTGCTCACTGCTCGTCAACAGATCTACAATGAATTGCATTGGTTGGTGGTGGCCAACTTAGATTCCGTTTTCTAAGGCTGCATGACGAATTCATGTAATGTCTCGGCCCCTATGTCTGCGAAACTAGACTAGTCAGGAGGTTTTCATCTCGGAAAATCTGAATCACAACTTCGCTATTTCACTGCGCTTTGCTGTACGGCAGTGGCAATCACTCCCTTTTCACGACTCTATGCCAATATACGGTATGAGCGTATACAGGCGCGCATGACTGTATTGTATGGCCTAAAAATCTCTACATCATTATACGGCACAGGCGTGTGTATCAACTCACACATTGCGTGGTTGATCACAACTTAGCTCGTAATACGCAGAGTGCACCCGATTTCACGTTTGTCGCCTCGCCAATCTCGTTTCCAGCAGAAACTGTGTTGATAAGAAATTATTCGTACCACATATGCCTGCGTCACTAGAACATATGGCATAATATCCATGGAGCGCATTCTTAAGCAAGCTCAAATACATCAGCTTGTATTCTCATCACACAGGCGTTTGCCACCTCAGACGGATATATGATGATAGCTGCAATGAATAACAAGCAATTCAAAGACCTATGTTGTGTGCTCGATGTATCGCACCTTCTTGATGATCACCGGTTTAATGAGAATGAAAGGAGGGTGGCAAACCGGGATGACCTGCTGCGTATGTATACGTGAATATGTTTTTATGTATCAAGAATGTGTAATGTGTAGGTTCTGATAAGTTTATATGCAAAATTGAACAAGCTTCTTGCGCTCAAGCTACCTGGGCCATCCACATTGTAGTTGAGCGCACCAGGTCTAAGCTAAGAATGTTGAAGGTCCTAAGCAATCAAGGTTTGCCTTGAGATTGTCCACATTTTAGTCATGCCGAACTTCTGGTGACTATGAATATTATAGCTCTGATTCATTGTTATTATGATACAACCTATTCCTCTGCATCGTGCGTAGACTAAATCAGGCCTTGGTGCCCTTCTGCTTCCGGGTAGAACAGTTGCAGCTGTGTGTCAGAGCATGAGTGCCGCTTGCTCTGAAACCTAAGCTTGAGTTCCAAGTGATGTTTGCTGTCCGGTAGTTGTATGTCCCATTGACTTGTGGATCTGAACGATATTGCGTGCTTGCTTGTCGTGTACTGTTTCTCGGTGTCTGTATTCAAATTTGTATCAAAGAGCATATCCTTGAGCAGCGCTATCCGTCGTGTCTCGTTCTCGTAAGTTTGTATCGCATTGCATCGTCTGTTGAAACACGTCTGTAGGAATTCCCAATATTTACCATAATATTAAAAGCGGTACAATAACATAGCAACTTAACATCCGTCGCATGATCCTGGTCGTGTATGGTGTACACCATCCCAGCTAGTTTAAAAGCACAACTTGAGCGGAATAAATCACATAGAGGGAGACATTACTTTAACTACAGTTTTAGGATGCGCACACTATTGAGTTGGAATACACAACTATATACACACACGTGCATAGCGGCATGTCTCCGTAGAGTTACCACCAAACTTCGTATGTGTTAAATTTTTCACCACAGCTCAGCTAGAGGCGCGACTACAGACGCAGAGTACTTCGGAGTGGATGAAAGTATTGCAGGGCACAAGTGTAGGGTGTGCCCCAATCAACAGCGTGGGACAAGCGCTAAACGATGAGCAGGTACGTTTAGTAGTGACCTATAGAGCATTGCCGTCGTATTTTAATGTATCGTTTGATCAGGTGTAGCGAATGTTCCCGTGACGAGCTTGAGTACTAAACGATGCTGCATATAATATACGACAGTGTCTGTAAACGCACCCTGGTGTGTCAATATGGACAGATTTTTCCCGGGCCGGAAAGTATTTATTCTGAAAAAATCGAGTACCTTGTTCTGGTCAAGGTCACCAATAATACAAAGTGGCCCTGACACCGTTTCACTCAGTACTCATGCTATCCAATAGCATGATCTTGTATCATGGCACGTCCTGACAGTGATAGCATCCATGTGCACTACGACGGTCATCATGACATTGATTTCTTATCCCATGATGGTTTGTTGTTCCTGCATAGATCATAGAGACCGGTCAGATTGCCGCAATGGACAGAAACGACCTCACTAATACACATTACTCACCACAACGGAGTCTTCCCTTACTTTGAAACCCAATCTCAGGCACCTCACTTTACTTCACTTATTCACTCCGTATCATGTCAGGTGTTACACCTGAACCTAATCCAAATGCTAGAGCATCCCGTTGCTGGCCCTATTAAGACGGTTGGACTACCTGTCTCGTTCAGTCAAACACCCGGATCAGTTCGTACCGCACCCCCGCTATTGGGCGAACACACTTCGGAACTTCTCAGCGAATTTCTGCAGAAGACTTCCATAGAGATCATTGATTTGAGGGACAGGGGTGTAGTCGCGTGATTTATAGGCAGCGCGTGTCATTCATTTCGAATGTAGGTTAACTGCGTTGAGTGTATCCTATAAATCCCTCTGGATAATCGCGAACTCCGCTGACTTAGGGGAGATGGCTATGTTCTCGTCTTGACGCGGGGTTTCGATATTACCAACTCGACTTTCATGTGTTTTAGCTTTGTTCACTACGTTCATTTTGACTGTCAATATGACAGAAATCGAGTATCCCATAGTGGATATTCCAAGTGACCAAACAACAGAAGGTGGTGCAGCGACTTGAATCTACTCAATAGCTGACATTTCTGCACTGAAAATTAACAAACCAAAGATTGCTGAACATTGAGAAGCATCCAGCTAGAAGCATAAAAAAAATCGGGTGGTATATAGGATTTCGATATCTTGTCCGGTTTCTTATCAATCATAAGACGAGAATCTGTGTTTTATTGTTTCAGCTACCTGACCTGGGTCGTAAACTGTGCACTTCAATAAGCGAGTGGTGAACCACGGTCATAACTAAAATGATAAATCTGATGGCAAATTAATCGTCAACACTACATTGGTAATTTGAATTCCAAAGATCGGGCGATAAGAGTCGATTTTGAATTGTATTCAGTACGTCGTAGTAGGTTATACACTTCATGTACTCTTATTGTTTTTTTGTTTTTTTTAAACAACAAGAAGACATATAGAAGTTTCACTGCCGTGCTGAGACTTGTGAGAATGATGGGCATTACATAGCCATTTTCTAAAGTGGCGGAAAGAGGAACCAAACTTGCAGGCTGTAGCCAGTGCTGGGTACAATCGGAGGCTGTGATTGTGTGAGCGTGGATACTGGATTGTGGACTTCTGGACAGGTGGAATCATTAAATCTCATACATAATGACCATCAGATGACCATCAGTGATGCATATGCATTGTTAAATAGAGTTGATGCAACTCTCGTCAGCTCTGAGCAGACCAAAAGCGTCTGAAGTAGGCATTGAAAAAAAGTGACTTGCATAGCTTTATTTTTATCATCTAATCACGTGCATCTATGGAATCTCTACGGGATTTCATTGGATAATAATGCACTATTTTAAAAAGGTGGATATTTACTCCATTTTTGGGTTATATGTAACCCTACGCTTTTTTCTACTTCTATTACGTTATTCAAAAATGCGTCCAACGTTTCTATTTCAAAACTGAATAGTAAGTTTAAAATTATCGACAGGCCCAGAGAGATGATAGTGTTACACAGTACTACTCACCTTGGTATCAGTTAATCACATACTTCAAATATAAAACATGGGCATATTCAAGGCTGCGTCGCCTCTGGTGAAGGCTTTAACAGGTGGGTTTGTTCTCTCTTTGCCGTCCGATTACACTAATTGATGGTTTTAGATTAGGTTCTAGCGTTGTCGGATCGACAATCTGCCTAAGTCTATGTTATCATTATTTTTAGTATTTTCATTCATGGCTATGCACGCACATATGGAGCCACAGTTGGGTACGTATCTGTCCATATGAAAATACTTTGGCTTATTTCAGAAAGAAGTGGAAACTCTCAAATTCATATGCGCGTACACCTGCATGCCACTCTACTAGTTTCATCTACTTTTTGTTGTGTTATATATATATCTATATATATATACATATACAAACCTACATACATACATACATACATACATACACATACATACACACACACATACATACATACATACATCCGTACGTACATACATCCGTACGTACATACATCCGTACGTACATACATACATACATACATACATACATATATATATATATATATATATACGTACATATATACATGTATACATATTTACATATATACATACATATATACATACATACTTACATACATACATACATTTATACATACATACATTTATACATACATACATACATACATATAAACATATATACATACATATATATATATATATATATCTATTTATATAATAAATATATATGTATAAATATATATATATATATCTATTTATATATATATATACATATATCTCTCTATTTTATTATATATATATATATATATATATTATATATATATATGTATGTATGTATATATATATATATATGTATGTATATAAACATATATATATATTTGTAATTACATTTATATATATATATATATTTATATATATATACATACGCACACACACACAAAATTACATGCATACATACATACATAAATATATATATATATGTATATATATATATATATATATATATATGTGTGTGTATGTTATTTGTGTGTGTATGTACGGTAAGTAT